CCCTACTATTGGTTACATTCTGTGGATGTCCTTACAGTTTCTACTGTGTGATAAAGCAGCATGAGCAAAAGCAGCTCAGGAAGGGAAAGGTTTATTCTCAGGTTATACTCTTTCACTGACAGAAGTCAGACCAGGAACTTAAGGCAGGAGCCTGGAGGCAGGAACTGAATCAGAGCCCATGGAGGGTGCTGCTCACTCCTTTGCTCCCATGGCTTGCTCAGCTTTATGGATTTGTATACAAGCAATCTGATGGAGGCACTTGCTCAGTTACGGTTTCTCTTTCCAGTTAACCCTTGTTTGTGTCAAACTGAAACAAACAAACAAACAAACAAAGAAAACCAGGATATTGGGGGAACCTTGATTAATTTAGAGCTTGGGGAAGCAATAGAAATGCTAAATTTCAAGGTCGTGTGGAAGTCAGGGACCACAGAGTTGAAGTATTAGAAATGAGAAATAGATGCACGAAGCCACAAAGGTTGGGTGTTGTTGTTGTTACACTGTATAGCCTGACCTTTCCGACACAGAAGAACTCCTTTTGAGGATCTGACACTTGAGGTATGAGAATGAAGCAATAGAGAGAAAATTCCAGGCAGAGGAAGGTTTATTCCCAAAGTTATCAAGGCAGAAAGGGGTGCACTGTGTTGCTTTTGATGCCTTAGAAGAATAAAGAGTGAACCCCAGAGGGTCGGATGACAGAGAGATGCTGGACAAACCATACACAACTAAAGACAGAAAGATGGAAAACATTCAGAATAGGCAATGGAGAAAGAAAATGGATAAATGCTTGTCAAGAGGCCCTGGGAATGTGGATAAGTTCGAGAGAGGCGAGAAATGGGAATGACTGTCCAGTGGCATTGAACTCTTTTATGTGACGAAAATGCTTTATGTCGATGGTGGTAATGGAATGTTCAATTTTGGGAACATAGTAAAATGTGGGTGTATACACTTTAAGTAGATGAATTATACCTCCATCTCAATAATCTTCAGATATGTTCCATATTTTCATACATATTAAATGAACCCAAGCTCATTAATTTGGATAAAGACATTCTCTTTAACATTAGGGGTTTCATAGCAAATATATCAAAAATCATCTTTGGGAATGTCCTGAGCTCTCTCTTAAGGCTAGTGGACTGCAGTGAGAAGCAGCTTCCTGCAAGACAGATGCAAAAGGCTTTCAGATTCATAGTCTGTGGTTTCCTTTAAGTTTCTGTTGCTTTCTTTACCCGGAAATGCTGGTGATTTGAAACTCATTCCTGATATTACTCATGAGAGTTGAGAAACAAAATACACAAATAAAGTCAGACACACCATCATTGGTTTTGTGGTGTGTGAACACAAGAAGACAAGAATCTTCTGTTTGTTTATGAGAAGACTGTTCAGATCACAGATTTTTCCACAATCCTATTTTATGTGAGTCTACTTTCACTCTTAGTTTAATTTTTGAGCAGTAGTCTCTAGAATGCTGCTGGCTCTAGAGGACTGGATTACACTCAAAAGACCCAGAATTAAAACCACTCACAGAGCCAGAGGTGTTCTGGGAGAAAGTTCTGGCAGAACCAGAACCCCCCCCCCCAAAGCTGTAGAACTTTGCCTGGGAGATTGTGATGTGTGAATATAGAGGAAGCAAATCTGGTGAGCAGAAGTGGGGGCAGAAGTGGGGCCAGGGTGGGAATGGTGTTCAGAGACTGATCCAACACTGTGTTGTTATAACTCAGGCTGTTTCTGAGCAGAAGTTCAAGTGAATGTTCTGGTCTATGAAGCCCTGAACCTGCCCTTCCACCTGCACCTTTGTTCTCAAAATGCCACCTTGGTTCTCACCTTTAACATTCAGTCCATTATTCTGGTCTTCTTTACAGCCAAGCTCAATTGCATTCAATGAGCATTTATTAATGGTTATCTCCTCACAGGACTTTCAGAACATTTCTGGTCATCCCATTTTTTTCTCCCTCCATATAATCGTTAGAACCACATTTCGATTTTGTGTTCTATCTAACAGTATCAACCACTTCCTATAGGAACCCAGCATAGCCAGCATGCTTATTAATCATTTTAATGAATGACTGACAAATGAGTTAATGAGTTAATTTAGTTGGCAAAAAAAGCAGGCAGATTTATGTGGGAAAGAAAAACTGAAATTGAACCCTTGAATGACAAGTGTCAGAGAACAGCAAGTTGCTTGTCACCTCCATTAAAACTGAATAAACAAAATAACGAGAACAGATGATAGAGTGTAGAGTTGAGGTAGGAGAGGGGATATTCTGGGTGGCTTTGAGCTTTGGTAGAGGATAAACCATTATAGAGAGGTAGGAAGTCTCAGGTTTGGCCATTAATAGATAGTATCCAGGAAAAGGCTGACCCTTCTCTGCATGAGAAATATGGTTGGGTGGGGGATCTTGTCTGATTTCAGGTGTGTTGGGTTTGCCTTGGTTAGTACTTGGATGGTGGAAATGTAAGAATAAGCTTCAGTCAGAGACTGGAAAACTGTGGTTGTTAGGTTTCAATTAAGGAAAACTTGAATAAAGAACAAAGATTGTGAACCTAGCCAGGTTTTTTTTTTCTTGATGAAGTATGGAAAATGTGGATGAGAACAAAACATGATTGGGATAAAGATGAAGACCCATCTAGCAATGAGAAGAAAGTTAACCAAGATTCATGGGAAGAAGACAGAGGACTAGAGAGACAAGGATCACCATTGACTTGATTACCCTCAAACATTCAGAGTCTTAGTGAGGCTTCTTCTTATAGCACCCTTGAGTTTCAGCGCTATGTTAGAGTACCTGGTGGTAGTGGGTATGTATAGTTAAGAAGACAAGTAAACTAAGAAAAGAATGTTTCCTGGCCCATTTCAAAAATTCTCTTTAGTATATATAATCTATTAATACTTATCAAATGAAGTAAAGCCAACCCAGTATGGGCACCAAGAGCAGCCGTTTTTTTTGTGAGTTCTCTGCTCAGACTCTATGTGGATGCCCTCCTTGTGGTCAGCTAAGTAGCCCATTAGTTATTTAGGGTAATGCATGGTTATCAAGAGCCTGCACACATCCCTTGGTCTATAACTGAGCACACACATGGAGCTTTAAATAATATGCAATGGCAGTAATTGCTGGATGTTCTTAGAGTTGTAGTGTAAGATGTAACCTGTCAGACTGATGGCTCTTTCAGCCGCATGCCCAAATGCAGTTTTCTCGTATGCTGGTCAGCTTATCACAGTAATCATGAACCGGCCACTTCTTCCCCTATTTGAAGACGCTGAGTTTTAGAGAGCAGTAACACAGAGACCGAGCACCCAGGTTCAATGTGGTGTTCTTTCTAGTATCCTTCACTGCATTTGGGAGCTGTGAAATAGTAGGGTCAGTGCCACAGTCTTGATTCCAGTTAATATCAGAAGAACTGTCATGTGAAGAGTGAAGACATGCTAGATGTGGGGGGTTCACCGAACTCCTGGTTAGTCTTTACTTTAACTGGAGTTCTGTTTTGGTTTTCATTGTTGCTGTTGTTTGCTTTTGTGAAGCCCTGGTTGCTCTGGAACTCCAGATATAGTCTAGTTTGGCTTTGAATTTACAGAGATCCACCTGCCTCTATAGACCAGGCTGGCTTTGAACTCACAGATATCTACCTGCCTCTGCCTCCCCAGTGCTATGATTAGCACCACCAACTCCAGTCTCTCTGTGTTTTTTCAGTAGCCATACACCCTCCCCTGTGCTGATGGTCTGTGGTCATGAAGCAATCATTTGACATCCCTGGAGGTACAGATACTGTTGTGGCATACCTGTGAAAGATATCCATTATACTAAAGAGTTAATTAACAGTACATTCAGCCTTTGGGGATATTGGAGAGTGAAAGTGTGTGTGTGTGTGGGGTCAGCAAAAACTAACCTAGCACCCCAGTACTGGAGGGG